CGAAGACATATGGTTTCAAAGTGGGGTGCCACCGCAAAGTGTTGGAAACTTCATGGAGATATCCACATATCATGATCCCCCCAGAGCAGCTGCAAGGGGCTTCTGGGGATATTGGAGCCCAGCTGCCGGGGCCTTTCCATGCTTGGAATGCTGAGGAGAGTCTTGGAGATGCACCTTATTTTGTGACTGTTTCGCGCAAGGGTCACAGGCGATTGCATCTTGCGAAGGCTTGTGCTGTGAGGCAAGAAAGGTGCTTGGAGACCATTGGCATATTCTCCCTGGGCGAAGCTTCTGCTGACTCAATTTGCAAGCTTTGCAAGCCCAAGCTGTCAGGCGCAGTCAGTAGCTCGAGCAGCGGGTCCGAGGATAGTAATGCCATTGACATGCAGGCAGCAGCCCCTGAGCCTCCGGTAGCATCAGCAGGGGATTGAGCTCGTTGCGGGTGAACACAAAAGAGATGCACATGCTTTACGCAGCATCTGCGGTCGACTGTTTTGATTGCAAGTTTGCATCTGCCTTGCATGGGTTACCAGGTTGTCAAAGCTTGATGCATTAAAGTGCCCGGCACATTTGGCTCGGTCGAATTGAGCTGAAACATCCTCGGTCGAAAGAGGACGGAGAGCTTTGCTCCCGGAAGTTTCTAGTGGCAGCTAAAGTCCTCGGTCGGAGGAGGACAGAAAATATCAGGTCGCTATGAGTGCAGTGGACTTGCCTGCAGGAGTTACGCAGGATGCTGCCTTTGATTTCTTTGAGAAAAATCTGACAACTGAGTTGCTCCACATCTTTAACGAGTGTGGGGTTCCTGTCGGGTTGCAGTTCAAGCTTGGCCAGCATTTCAAGAACGTAAAGAAGTTCTCAACTTATGCTGACACCAGGTCAGATGTCCGTGCTGCACTTAAGGCGGATCATGCCCTCGAGGCCACCAATCAAGATACGCGGGCGGCAGTGGCCTCAGTGGTCTCAGTTTGGGAATCTTGCCGAGAGTTCAGTGCAAAGGAGAGTGAGGTCAAAGCTGAAGCTAGGGTGCTGGGTGTTAGTCGGCCAATCACGCAGACTGAGCATCAGGCCATGCGGATCTCTTACGAGAAAACCTTTGGTAGTCTTGACGAAGTGGTTGAACCTTCGGCTGATTATCTTTCGACCAAAATGGAAGAAGTTGAAAATGGTGAGATTGTGGCGTCGCCTCTTTCAGATGTCACCAGCAAACGCAAGGTGAAGACCCTTGGCATTCAAACCAGCGTGGATGCTGGGGGGCACGTCCGGATCGTCAAGCAGCGTAACAAAGGTTCGTTACCGCAGAACACGGAGGATCTTCGTACTGTGTTGCGTGTGGAGGGTAATGCTTGGGTTTTCTTGGCTAGCAAATACAAGAACAAGATCTTCTTCAAGTTCTGACGCCTGCCGTCTGGCTAGACTACAGCAATTTCCTCTTGGGCGACAAAGTTTATCTGATGCAGATCCTTTCGCCATCAGGAAAGGGCAAGTCTGAGCAGATCGCTTTCCGGCCTTTCCATGCCCCTTCCTCAGGTACTGTGTTTGGCCTGGCTTCTCCCTCGAGAAGATGCGCACAAAGCCACGCAGGCAGATCATGGAGGTGCCTTTTATGCTGGAGCATTTCTTCGAGGAGGTTTGTATGGCCTGCGCTCCACTTGCAACTCCCATCCTTTCTCCATCCAGTGCTTTACCCGACTTCTGCGGGAAAGGTTCCCCAATCAGGTCTTCACCTCCTTTGGTATCTTCTTCAACGTGTTGACTTCCATGCACCGCGACTCGCGTAATGCTGCTTTTCCTAATCTGTTGCTGGCATTGTCCAGCTTCGCTGGAGGCGAGGTCTGGCAAGAAGAGCCCGGTGGACACGTGCTTCGCGCTGTTCAGGGAACTTTGGTGGAGGGTAGGCTGCTGGATGTCGCTGCATCGCCCCAAGTGCTACAGGCGCATCTTCGTTTTCATTGCACAGAACCTTGGTCCGGTGACCGTGTGGTACTGGTTGGCTTCTCCGTTGATTGCACCGGCTTGCAAAACTCTCAAATCTGCCAGCTTCTAGACCTGGGATTCGTGGTGGTTCAGACTCCTGCGGAGAAAGGGGGTCTGTCTGAGCCACACCAATCTTTTCCTCCTCTTCCTCCAGTACTCACTTCTGGTGCCCCGACATCTCAAGCAGAAGGTACAGGTCAGGTTGCCCGTTCCTTTCAGGTGCCATGCCCAGGTGCCCAGGTCAATGCAGGTCCAGGTGCACGAGGTCAGGCATCCAGCTCATCTGCGCCCGAAGTGCAGCTGCTGTGCCCAGGTGCTCAGACAGGTCAGGTATAGGCGCACAAGGTCAGGCGTCCAGTTCGCAGTCGGAGGGTGCGCCAGGTCAAGCGCCAGGCCTTGAGGTTCAAGATGTTTCTTCGAAGGATGACGCAGAAGGATGTGATCATTTTGACCCTTGGACGAGCAGGTGTTCTGGACCACCGATCAGGTGCAGGCATTCTATGGGCAGCCCAGAGTTTGTGGACGGCTTTGGTCTTTGCTCTCCAGGTAGGTGGCGGCCACTCCAGCGGGGCAGGTTGTGCTCCGAGGCTGAGCTGGAGCATGCAAGGGCACTGCAAAGGGTTCTTAGAGACTTTGTGGTCGGGGAGCTGCCTGATCCCCGGAAAGCTGCCTTCATGCTAGCATCTGGCCACCTTGAGGTATCTCCCTTTGATCCTTGCAAGCTGGACTCCTTGAGCGGGAAGTTGGCGGAGTTATTGCCTGACCCAGGTCTGGCACTGGAGCGTCCAGAGGGCCAGCCGTTCTGGCTTCACCTTTTGCACCAGTCGCTTGTTCTGTTGGGGGACCCCGACGCTGCAATCCTTGTTGATGGAGACGAGTCCTTTGCCGAAGGTGTGCTCTTAGGCGATGAGCAGCCAATTCCGCGCACCCCTCAGGTTTTCCGGAAGAGGGTCAACTTCAGGTCGCTGGATGTCACAGATTTCGAACCGGACATGGCCAATTACTCCTCAGCCGAATTGTCATCTGACCAACTTGAAAAGCAGTTCTGTAAGGATGAGCTGGCCGGGCTCATGCACCCCACGACTGAAGCGGCTGTGGAGGCGGAGTATGGGCCAGGGAGACTGTTGGTAGCTGCCATGGGCGCTGTGTCCAAACCTAGTGGAGAGGTAAGACCCCTCCACGACGGAACGCGTGGCATTGGGCTCAACAATAAGATCCGAGTCCTGGACAGGCTGGAAGTGCCTGGTCCCAATGAGGCCGTGGAGATGACTGCATTGGGGCGCGAAAGCAAAGAGGCGGTGTTCGCTATTTCGGCGGACATCGCCCAAGCTCACCGCAGGGTGAGGGTGCGCAAGGCTGATTGGCCCAAATTAGGTTGCCGTGCTTCTTCTTCCTCTCGCACGATCTGGATAAACCGGGTCGGTACTTTTGGTATCGCATCAGCCGCCGATTGGCAAACTACATGCTTGAGTGTCTTGATCGCATGCATATTGCTTGACAAACTTTAACTTGATGTTTCGGTTGTTTATGGCACAAGAATCAATTTGGTACCCACCCAACCCGCCCTGTATGCAAGCTGGATGCCCGTGTACTTCCCAGCTCCTTTTAGGTCCTTGTGCCTAGGGTTTCTGTAGACTTGAGCCGCGAAGCGGATTACTTACAACTCATGCAGAAGGCGCAACGTCAGCAGACTGTAGCGTGCAGATACACGGTCGAACTCAGCAGAGGTGTACAGGACCGTGTGCATAGTGTGTTCATGTGGTCGTGTTCGTGTGGTTCCACCCTCAACTGCCGATGTATGGTTGTGACCATAACACAAGGTTGGATCCGCGCCACCAATCAAAAGGAAGTCCGAGTGCATTGCAAATTTGATATGCATCTTTTGATTGATTATCCTGATTGGAACTTCGTGAGGAAGAATTTTGATTTGATATGATTTGATTGGATGCTTATTAACCCGAATACTTTATAAAGTTACCCATCTGGCTCAATCCGTTCTGACAACTGTCCACTTTGCGTCAGTTTTTTTTTTCTCTCTCTCTCTCTCTCTCTCTCATTACTAGCTCTCTGTCTCACCAAGTCTACCCTAGAGGTAGCCGTGACTTTCAAGTCATGCTAGGATCTCGCTATGCTTTGATCTCAGGGCTGCGTCGGATAAA